TTCAGCATCTTAGCTGTGGAGGGCAGTGTCACTGGCCCTCATATGTGGGATCCGAACCGGGGCCCTCTGACGTCCCAAGCCAGCTCTTAACCATCACGCCACTCGGCCGGCCCTACCCTATCATTTTTAATAGCTGCATACCGTGTTTCCCCTAAAATAAGACCTAACTGGAAAGTAAGCCCTAGCATGATTTTCAGAGTGCTCATAATATAAGCCCTTCCCCAAAATAAGCCCATTACAATCGTCAGCCAGACATGCCGGTATTTGAATAAAGGTAGATTTTTGTACATGAATAAATGAATAAAATGCATCTTTTCGAGCAAAAATTAATATAAGACCTGGTCTTATTTTCGGGGAAACATGGTAGTATTCTGTCATATTGATCTCCTAGTTGCACAGTTCAGCTGTTCGTGATTTTTCACTGTTCTAAACAGCACTGCAGTGGAACACCTCAGTTCACAGAGCTTTTGGGTAGCTGATGGAATCCCTATTACCACGGCACAGGCTGGGAACATTGTAAAGGCACTTGAGTTATTTCTTAAAATCTCTTCGGCTCTGAGACTGGGATTTTTGCCTCCCACATTCGGTTGGCCTCACTGAGGTCCTCCCCAGAGCCTCCCCCTGACTGGGGTCATCGGGGCATGTCACTCTGTTCTGTTGCAGGCGGGGCCCTTGCGTTTGTCAGCCCAGGCTTAGCGGTGCACAAGACCTCCTCGGCTGTGGACCGCCAGCGGGAGTACCTCCTGGACATGATCCCGCCACGCTCCATCCCCCAGTCGGCCACGTGGAAATAGTGTGAGCCGGGCCCAGTGGAGAATAGGCTCCCTCCTCCCTCCCACCTGGCCCACTACCCTCCACTCGGGAAGACACCCTGCTTCCCGAGAGAGCGAGCAAGCGTCGGCCACACTGCGGAAGCAAGAGCTCCGTTCTTGGCTGCAGAGTCTCATCGCTGCAAAGTCTCGTCGCGGCTGGGGGGCCGCTTCACAGGTGGACGAGGATTATCACTGGGGGACCTTTCCCATGGGCTTTCCTCCTTTCCTTGCCTTTAGTTTGCCCAACACCAGCAGAAAAGCGGACTTCGGGAGCTGGTTGTGCTCCCACCCTCTCCTTCAGCTTCCACAAGGCGCACAGGCAGCCTGGATACTGTGACACTCAGGCAAGACTGGTGCCCAGGGCTTCTGAAGTCGAGCGGAGCATTCTGTTTTGTTTTTGCTTTTTCCCGTCTTAGCCTCCCAATTTTTGACTGCCTTCCTTCACGGCAATCTCTAGGTTGACAGATTTTTTTTTTTAATCACCTCACGATGATGGAGTTTAAAGTAAACCGTGCAGACCCAGAGGTTCCTGCCAAGCACAGCCCCCATGCCCCAGAGGGTGGGCTGATGACCGACCCACCAGCTCTCGCCCACTCCAGCGGAAGGCTTGTGCTGCTGCTTTTCCCAGAGACCCCGGACCTCCCACACTTAGCAGAAGAACAAACTGTAACTCAGACCCAGCCAGAGCACCCAGGATCCTGGAAGCCACACTGCTGCTTATGGAGGAGGGAGGAGAGAATCAGCAGCAATATCCAGAGCCTGAGCGGGAAGTTGGAGGGGCAGGCTGTTGTGGTTTTTTTTTGTTGTTGTGGTTTATTTTATTAAATTTTTTTCCTTTCTTTTCCTACTTATTTTGATGGACAACATCCCAAGCTGCCCTGGCTTGTGTCAGGTGGGAAGGCGCCCCTGCCCTCCACAGACTTCAGGGTTTCCGTTTGGGTCTAGTTTAGAATCTTCCCTTAAAGCAGGGCCATGCTGCCAGCGTTTGCCTTCAGACTTTTTTTTTTTTTTAACCCTTTTTAGAGTCTACAGAAATGTCTTACAAAGGATCAGGTCTGCTCTTAGTTGTGTTTCATTTTGGTTTCTCCCACTCCTTAAAAATCAGTTCCATGAGGAAAGGCAGAAGTTGTCCTGTATGTGCTGTGCACGTGGCCAGTTCCATGCAGGTGTGAGGGTGTCCCATGCGTACATGTGTGTCAACATGGAAACAAGTACGCCGCTCCCCACTTCAGCTCCAGCCCTGGTTTTCCTGTCCAAATTAAGTTAGGGACTTAATTTAAAATCCTTATTTTGTAGGGCCGCCTTCTTCGAACATACTGCTTCAACATTCTAATAAAGGCTCATTTAACCCCCTCTCTCATGTTGTGTGAATATCAGTGTTTAGAAAACATTTTTGACTTGCTGTAGAAGACTTAGGTTAGAAGACGTAGTTTTACAAAGTGTTCTAAGTTTTTGTTGTGTAAAACCCAAAGTTCTCATTGATTTTTGTTTTGGGTAGGTGGGCTGAAGGAGGGAAGGGTTGCTTTCATGACCAGATCCAGGGATTTGGGGGGAAAGAGGGAAATTGACATTCAGGAGTGGGGGGACAGGGTGTGTTTTTACACCAAAAAATCAAGAGTATGCAAGCGTTTCTATTGCTCGCATTTTTTCTGTGTGCCTGGCAAATAAATACCTGTCTTATACTACCCTAAGCTGTTAGCCCTCTCTGTTCAGTGACATGGGCCAGACTCCAAATCCTCAAACAACAAGAACTTGGCTGGCCACTTCTGCCAAACAGACTTCAGTTCTATGCAGTAACTGAATCAGGGGTCCGGGCCAAAGGTCACCTCTGCACTGGAGGGGTGGTTGGTGTGCCCCAGCCAGAGATGACTGGGTCTGTGACTTGAGGGCCCACATTGGCTCCCATCCCCATCAGGACCTGGCTCATCACTACACTCAGGAACCACCTCTCCTCACCTCATCTCGCCTGGCCGGACTGTCTGGGGCAGAGAGAGGATAGGACAGCTAGGCCCTGGCTCTCCCTTCTTTAGCCCAGCATCCCCGGGCACATTCCCATCAGGGACAATTTACTGTGACGGAAACAGCCTTTTTAAAAGGAGACAAGAATATGCGAGGCTTTCATCTTCAGTTCATTCTACTGTCTCAAAAGTCCTATCCCCCTTTTTCTTCATTTTCCCTCTTTGCAATGTAACTTCAATGATAAGCCCCAAATGGGTAGTTGTGCACTGAACTTGAAGATGCTATAGGAAAGGTATTAAATACCTCTCTGGGTGTGGGGTTTGAATAGAGTAGGAATGGAGGTTACCATTAAAGGTGTTCTCCCAACAACAAAGCTCACCCCCTCAGAATTGGCCACAGTGAAGTCCTGGTCTCCCCCCACAGGAGCTTCAGAGCTAAGAAGACCTGGTTCCCAGGAGCAGTGAGAATGTGGAAGCCCCCAGGCCCAAATGACAAATATAACAGTCTCTAGTTATCTGACATGAACCCCTGACAGCAACTGGAAACTTTAAAATGTCAGCTGCTCTGTGGCTGGGGTGCGATGGTTCACAAAATTATTTCTCCGGTTTTGATGGGGGAGCATACTTGAAATGGCCGAGTGCATGTGCAGGTATTACGCATGTCCCCTTCGGAGCCGCCCATGGCTTTGGCTGTCCTGCCCATGTCATGGGGACTCTGGTCCCCAGTATGCCAACTGTGACGTCAGGGCCCACACCTTTGAACCAGGCCGAGAATGGCCCTTCTCCAAGGGGCCTCTGGTCCTGTCCTCAAGACTGTGAAGCAAAAAGTTCACCCTAGTGCAGAGGGAATGAGAAGCGACTGAGTATAACCCTGCTGTGTGTCCCCAAGTCACTCTCCTGTGGATGGAGAGACGGAGAGGAGTTTTCTGTCTAAGTAATAGAAACAATAAACATTCTCATCACAGGGGTGTAAATAATGGAAAAGGTGGTCCTTGCTGCATTGCCATAGGGTTTTTGGTTTTTTTGATGCCGACTTATGCTGCACATACTTTGCCTAAAGAATTTGGACTACGCTTTTTTTAAATGACAGCTAAAGTTTTATAATTCTTAACAAAGAAAGTGTAATAAACAGTTACACTAGTGCAGGATATTTGGGAGGTGGATTTTTTTTGAGGGAGGGAGGGATCACTTGTATTTATTGTGGCTAAATCTTTGATAATGTACAAAGAAAAAGTTGACCACCAAACCAGAATAGATGGTTCCAATAAACAGGCTGGAATCAATGGCTATACATGGTGTCATGAGGAAGTTTTAGAACCTGAAGGACAATAAAAAAATGGACTATGTGTTGGCTGTATTTTTCTTTTGTCCCTTCAGCCCTGATTTCCCTGCATTATTTCATCCCAGCTTTGGGGAAGGTTGGAGGCTGGAAGGTGCAGCAGGGTGACCCTTTGTTAACGGGAGCAAAGGATGAGACTCTGCTGCTTGGGCTTCTTTCAAACTTCTCTTCCCATGGGGAGGGAGTCCTCCACAACTGGGCCCCGTGTCCTCACCTCCAGGCCTCCATCTCCACCAAAACGTGCATTCTGGCCTGGGGGGATGTGGTGAGAGTCCAATGGGTTTTTCCTTGGGCTGGCTCTTAGCTCCTTTCCAGCTTCCAGCCTGGCGTGGTGGGTATTTCCCAAGTGCATTTCAGGCTTAGCTCCACACTGGGTGTCTCTGCTGCAGGACAGGGTATTACAGGTGTGGGTTCTAAGTACAGATGGAGCCACCCAGCCAGGCCCTGAAATATTCAATTACTGGTGAAAATTTGTTTTCCGTTGTTGACACAGTTTCAAATTTTATAATGTGATCACCTTGGTAATGTTAACCACTATTTTCCTAGGTGCTTTTATTTTCTTGCTGGTTCTTTTGTTGTTGAGATGTCCCCGACTCCGAGGGGAGGTGGGTGGGGGCGCTGGCTAACTGCCTTCCCCAACAGCCAGCTTGGTTTCCCTGGGCAGGCACAGAGCTGATGACAAATTAAACCCAAACCTGTGCTGGTCTACCTGTAACACATCCTGACTGGTGCCTCAAGCTGCAACACTCACTGCGAGAAGCACACTTACAGGTTGCTTTCTTGGCTCTGCACTCAACCTTCAAGTGAGTCTGCTGGGTCAGCCACAGGCTCCTCAATGGACAAGGGGTGAGCCTCAGTCCTCCAGCTAACAAATGGGATGCTCGCCCTGGTCCCTGACACCTTGTTCCCTCTGAACGAAGCCATGGCTCTGTGGCTATGGGGTGAGAGGATACCTTGGCCCACTGCTCATACAGATTCATCAGTGAGGGACAGAAAAAGGCGTGTGCCATACCCCAGGCATTGGGAACATAGCGGTGAGAAAGGCCAAGAGGGAACAGAATGATGGAGTAGGTGACCTTTTAGCCATGTCTTGAATGAAGAGGGGAAAGTGTTGCTGGGAGTGGGAACAGCCATTGAAGTCTCAGAGGTGTGCCCAAGCCTGGCAGGTCGAGGACAAGAAAGGCAGTGTGGCTGGACCACAGGGAACAGGGATGAGAATGTGGGTTTTATTATGAGTGCAGTGGTGGGAGCCTTGAGGCTTGAGCCACAGCCCTTCCCAACAACCCCAAGGATGGGTTCCTACTCCCATTTTCCAGGTGCAGAGCCTGAAGTATGGTCCAGGTCAGGAGATGCACCCTTTCAGTGTAAACCAGAAGGGTTGGTTTTTCTGTCTTAAGAGGTGAACCAACCAGAATTGGAGGTAAGGTACTACCCCTCTTTTAGCCTCAGTTTCATCTGCAAAATGAGGGGCCATAGCCTATTTGAAGAGGATGAGGGGAGAGCTGGCACTTAATCCCCAGGGCACCTGAAGAGCTATGGATGGTAAGTGAGCAGGGGTGGGGCATGATCAGACTCACTGACCAGCCTCTTTTTTTTTTTTTTTTAAGATTTTTATTGGGGAGTCAGGGAAGGGGAACAGACAAGTTGCTGTCCTTTTGTTCTTCAGTCTAGTTGTGGAGGATGTTGCTTCACTGGCCCATGTTGGTATTNAAGGGGAACAGACAAGTTGCTGTCCTTTTGTTCTTCAGTCTAGTTGTGGAGGATGTTGCTTCACTGGCCCATGTTGGTATTATCATTACACACTTTCTGGGTGAGGCAGTCGCTTGCCGGCCATTGGCTGGCCGCTCACAGCAGCTCATGAAAGCTCACACCCGCTGCTGGCCAGCCCCATTGCAACCTACTACACTGGCAACTCATGGCAGCCCAGCTCCAGGTCGAGCTGTTGTTTGTTCACCATCTTAGCTGTAGAGGGTGCAGCGTCACTGGCCCTTGTATGTGGGATCCGAACTGGGGCCCTGCTGCTCAGAGCTGGCATCCCAAGCCAACTCCTAACCAACTGTGCCATTTGGCTGGTCCTGACCAGCCTCTTTTAGAGACTGGTCATGGGCCTCAGATGGAGGCAGATAGGATTAAGGCTTAGGGAGACGTTTCCCATACCAGTAACGTAGCAAAACAACCCCAATCTCCCCCAGACCCTATGGGGTCCCCTCTACAGACATACCCCTTTACCTCTTCACCTCTCCATTCCAGCCACAGGAATTTGCTGGCATTTCTAAAACACTGCCAGCTCCATCCTGTTTGGGAACTCATGGAACACTTTCTGCTGTTTCCAGTGGCTGATTCCTTCAGGGTTCAGCTCAGATATCTGCTTCAATCCCTCGTGGGTCAACCCCCACCCGACATATAGCACAAGGTAACTTAAAAAATTTTTTTAATTCCCACGCAATTCTTTTTTTACTTGACTTTTCACTTGCCTCCTCCCTGAGGGCAGGGATGGATCTAAGCGTCTTTGTTGAGTCCCAGAGCTTGGCAGAGCAGGCGTTCAATAAATGCATGAATGGAAAGAAGGGACTGAACTAACCAGCTTGCTGGGTAGACTCACACCTCAGCCTTGACTCTCCCTAGCCATTTACCCTCACCAAGGAAGGGGTCCTCACTAAGGAGAGTTTCCACCACCTCCATACCCCACTTCAGCCATATCTGGGTTCAAATCGCAGCTGTGCTCTTGAGCAGGTGAAATCTGTGTGGGCCTCAATTTCCTCACCTGTAAACGCTCAGTTGTGGAGACAGCCCCAGCCCCACTCCATTCCATCTTTAAACATGAGAAGGGTGCTGGGTCCTTGCTCCCCCGACCAGCATCTCCATTCCCGGGACCATCACGACCCCAGGGGACAACCTTAAAGCCCCCTCGACTCTGCCCAGGCTGGGGGACCCAAAAGGTCCGAGTTTGAAACCTCCCAACTCACTTTTGAGAACTGGAGCAAGAACCCTAACAAGTTTTTCTCTAAAATGGGGCGCCCGCACCTGCTTTCCCCAGGGAGCGAACCCCTCTCCCCCTTGTTCAGTAAAAAGGGGCCATCGCTAGAGCCAGGTGCGAGGAAGAGCGAGTTTATTGCAAATTACAAAGGGGGCAGCACCCGGAGCGCGCCATCCCCCAGCTGCAAGCGTGGCAGACTGGCAACGGATACTCTCTGCGCGCGTGCCCTCGCCAGCAGCTCCTCCACGTAGGTAGCAGCCGCCCGCCGGGCAGCGGTCGCTCATTCCTCGCAGACGCAATGCTTTCCTTTCCCCCTCGTCCAGCCCCTCCCGGGGCCTTCTTGAAGGGAATCGAGAATGCGCATGCGCCCTCCTGCTCTCTGGATTGTGGAGGAACTAGATTCCAAACTGGGGAGACTGCGGGGCACCGCAGTCGAGGAAGAGGGAAAGGGGAAAGAACGCATGCGCAGTGGCGCGCGGCGGCTTCGCGGGACTCTTGAAGCGCGCCTCTCGCGCGTGCGCTTTTAGCCGGAGTCCCCCGACCGCAGCCAGCTGTTGCGCGCTACCTGGCCAGCCGAGGGCCTGGCCGATGGGCTGAACTGTAGCAACTCGGCAATCAGGGCCTTGCAGCGCTCGGACAGCTCGAGGCCTTCGGGGTAGAGAACGCCGCGCTTCTGGCGCCGGGGCAGGCCGGCAATGTCTGAGTCGTCGAAGGGCATGCACCCGGTGACCATGACGTAGAGCACGACGCCCAAGCTCCACACGTCATACTTCTTGGGGTCGTAGGGGATGCCCAGGAGTACCTCGGGCGATGCGTAGGCAGCCGAACCGCAGTAAGTGGTGCTCAGGTCTGGGTAGCCGTGTGCCTGGCGGCCAAAGCCGAAGTCCGTGAGCTTGACGCGGCGCTCGTCTGGGCTCAGGAGCACGTTTTCGCACTTGAGGTCGCGGTGCACCAGGTGGTGGTCATGCAGGTAGCGCACAGCGCCAGCGATCTGTGCAAAGAGGTCGCGCGCCTGCCCCCCAGGGATGTGCCCGCTGCGCTGCACAGCCTGCAGCAGATCAGTGGCGGCCGCCTCCATCACGATGTACAGCTTCCCGTTGCACACCTCAATGAACTCGAAGACGTGCACAATGTGCGGGTGCCGCACGCCCCGAAGGATAGATAGCTCACGCGGGAGGAACTTGTTGACGAAGTCGGGCGGCGCGCGCCGCCGGTCCACCACCTTGATGGCCACTGTGCCTTTGTACTTCTTGGACGTGGCCACCTTCACTTTGGAGTAACTGCCCTCACCTATTGTGCGACCCAGCTTATAGCCGAGTTCGCTCAGGAGTTTGTCGCCCGACATGGTGGCGCCTGGGGCGCGCGGGGAGCAGGAGACGGCTGCTGTCGGGGGGCGGCCGGACTCCGATCTCGGGCCTAACCCATGGCGCTTGGCACCTGCACCCCCGCACCCCCATGTGCCCACTCCCGGGGCCCCACCGCCGCGGTGCCTTTTATTACCCAGGTAACAATTTCTGCCTTGTGAAGTGACCGCGGGCGTCACCCCGCCTCGGGGTGGGCCCCACCGGACCCCGCCCCGCTGGGGTCCCCCAAGGCCCTAGGGCTTTGTGACTCATCATCGCTCTGAATGGTCCAGTTCCCGATGAAAGGGCACTAGCAAGGGGTCCCAACCGCCACTGGGGAGCGGAATCCGTGCCTGGGATTAGGGCGGCTCTTTGCGAGTTCCAAATACAAGGAACAGCCATGTTACCAACTTCTTGTACCCAGCCCTGACCATGTGGAGCCCTGAGCTGCCCGCAGAGCCCCCAACGGGGAGAAAACAGAAAAGGGGGCTTAGCTCGGTGAACCGGCTGTCTCGGGAGTTTGAATGCCCTGCGCAAAGCCTCAGAGGGAAGGTCAACACGAGGTCCTTTAGTGCAAGGACCCGGGCGACCCGACGGGCTCCAGGCGGCCACGCCCCATCTGGGAGAAGAGGAAACGATTCCTCGGCCGCAGCCGGGCCCCGCAGCACGAGCTCTCCCGCGTCGCGGGGTCGTTACACCAGCACCCTAGGGTCCTTGGCACAGCTAAAGACCTGCGCGACTGCTTCCGCCACATTCATAGTGGCGGCGGCTGCCGGCTACGTCATTTCCGCCCTCAAGCGGAGGTACAAAGCCCTGCGAACATGGCGGCGTCGAAGGTGAAGCAGGACATGCCCCCTCCGGGGGGATACGGCCCCATAGACTACAAGCGGAATCTTCCGCGTCGGGGACTGTCGGGTCAGTGTCCGCCTGCGCGGAGGGTCATGGTCTGGGTCTTCTGGGCCCCGCCGCGGGGGCGGGGCGCTGGGGAGGCTAGCGAGCCTCAGTTTACCTGCGGTGTGACGAGAAGCGGAGCTTGGGAACCCCAGATAACTTTAGTGGTAACAATAACGATAACTGCTTTAACTTGTCGAGCGATTACTAAACCCTTCCTTTTTGTAACAGCCCAGGAGTCGGAACTGAGATTAGTCTAGTCTAGCCTGTGTCCTTAGCCCTCCGCCACGCTTCTGTTTCACAGGTGGGGAAACTGAGGCTCGAGAGAGGCTGCAACCGCCCCCGCCAGGACCACCCAGAGCAAAGCTGCGGCCAAAACTCGGAACACCGAGGGAATTTAAAAGATGTTGTGCGGTGGTTTCTCGCTGGCCCCCACCTGCAGGATGTCCCAGGAATATGTATTCTTAAAGTTTTCAAATGTTCTAAGTAACATTTTAAAATTTTTTATTAGCTTCGTCACAGAACGATGTAAGAGAGAAAGTAAAAGGCACCTATACTGTGCACCCAGGGTTAACAGAAATACAAATAAATTTAAAATAATTTAAAGGTGAATACATTTGCTGTAAATCATCAAACTACATTTAAAATCTGTGCATGTTATGCAAATCATGCCTTAATTAAAAAAAAATCATGGGCATTGTAAAAAAAAAAAAGTAATAATTCGGACAGTAGAAAAGTGAATGTCATGTGAAAACTCAAATCTTCCCCCTCCCCTTCTTGGCTTTTTTGTATCCCAGAACAGAGGATGACAAACTTTTTCTGTAAGGGCCAGATAAATATTTTATGCTTTGCTGGCCAGATGGCCTCTGTCCACTGCTGCTGCTTTTTAAAAACTGTTTACAGACCTAAAAGTGTTCTTAACCTGAGGGCCATACAAAAACAGGTTACAGGCTAGATTTGGCACCACATGGGGGCACTCAACCCATCCTAGAGCAGATTGAACGAATATAATGTAATCAGAGTCTCTGTTTCTTTTCTCAGGGTATAATTTAACAATTCAGGTCAGTGCACCCCTCGGGTGTGCCGCATGAGGTCTATTTACACATATACTCCTATGTGACCTCTATCCAGACCAGACTGCAGAAGGATTCCAGCCCTCGAGACTCCCTTGGCTCCCCTCAGTCAGCATCTCTCTTTTTTAAGTCACAAACATACCGTTTATCGCAGTCCTCTTCCTGTTCATGTGTTTCCCATGGGCTTTAAGTACCACACCCTGGGGTTGGGTCTCCTAATCGTACCCTTTTACAACGACTTTCACTGTAGCACATACAAACCCACCCATCCTTCTTGGCTGCAGAGGTTTGAGGAAGATACCCTTTTGGTGGTATGGTCTTAGTTTATATACCTGCATTCATTCAGTAACTAGTTGTTGAATGTGCACATGGCTGTAGGCTGTGTCTCAAGGAGCTCAGTGTCTAGCTGAGGAGACAGACACATCACTCCAGAATTTCCTGTTGTGGCAAGTAGTAAGGCCTGGGCTAACCAGGGCCTGCTTTAGCCAGGGTGGGCCAGAGGTACCTCTCCGAGGAGGAGTCCCCCAGGAGGAGGGAACCGCAAGTGCAAAGGCCCTGTGCTCTATTCTGCACCCTGCTCTCATCCTCTGTCCTCTGGTCCTCCTCCAGTCTTGCCTCTTTTGAGCCATGGTCCACAGCGCCCCTTTCTCCATCAGTCCTACCCTCCCCTGCTCTTGTCAAGGCACTGTGGCCCCAAGCCTGGCACCAACTGCCCTTCTCTCTCCCTGGACTATTCACCACTAGCGTACCAGAACATGATAAGCTGGCTCAAGCTGCCTTTAATCCAAGCTGCTCCCAAAGTGATTGCTACCCCCACCTTTCATCTCTCACACCCAGCTCCTCTCTGCACGCCCTCCTGTGCCTAATGTGTGGCCTTTTTTTTTCTTGTGTCTTTAACATATTTATCGAGATTCCATACCATACAATTCATCCATTTTGTGTATACAAATCACTGATTTTTAGTCTATTTGCAGTTGTGCAACCATCACCATGATCTAAATTTTAACACTTTCATCACCCCTAAAAGAAACTCCGTACCCAATAGCAGCCACTTCTCATTCTCCCCCCAGCCCCTGGCAACCACTAATCTGCTTTCTGACTCCATAGAGTAGATTTGCCTTTTCTGGACATTTCATATCAATGGAATCATTCACAATGTGTCCTTTTTTGTCTAGTTTCTTTCAGTATGGTGTTTTTAATGTTCATGTAGCATGTGTCAGTGCTTCATTCCTTTTTTTCTTTGACAACAATTTTTTTACCATTTTAAACATTTTTTTAATATATTTTTTAAAATTGTAGTTGACAGTGCTTCATTCCTTTTTATGGCTGAATTATATTCTTGTATGGATGGAGCACATTTTGTGTATCCATTTAATACCACTTGATGGACATTTGAGTTGTTTCTACCTTTCGGCTGTTGTGAACAGTGCTGCTATGAACATGTGCGTGCAGGTGTCTATGTGGCATATGTTTCATTTCTCTTAGGTGAAATTTCACCTAGGAGTATAATTGCTGGCTCACGGTTTCTCCATGGTAAATAGGGTAATTTTTTTGCAATGTATGGGAGTTCCAATTTCTCCACATCTGAACAACACTAAATATATCCCCCTTTTTTTTTGAGTCCTGAAATCCTAGTGGGTGTGAGGTAGTATTTCATTGTTTTGATTTGCATTTCTTTGGTGATTAATGGTGTTGAGCATCTTTTCATGTGTTTATTGGCCATTTTTACAGCTCCCTTGGAGAAATGACTGTTCAAATCCTTTACACATTTTTAAATTGGGTTCATCTTTTTATTGCATTTTAATAGTTCTTTACATAGTATAGATACCAAATTTCTTATCAGATATATGATTTGCAAGTACTTTCTCCCATTCTGTAGGTTGTCTTCTCAGCTCATCGATGGTATCATTTGTAGCAAAAAAGTTTTTAATGTCGTTGAAGTCCAATTAATCTATTTTTTCTTTTGTTTCTTGTGCTTCTGGTGTAAGAAACCATTGCCTCATCCAAGGTCACAGAGACTGACTCCTCTGTTTTCTAAGAGTTTTATAGTTTTAGCTCTTACATTAAGATAAGATCCATTTGGAGTTAATTTTTGTGGATGGGGGAAGGAAGGAGCACATTTTATTATTTTGCATGTGGCTATCAAGTTGTCTAATTCGCTGAAAAGACTGTTCTTTCCCTATTGAATTGTCTTGGCACCCTTGTCCAAAATCAATTGACCATAAATGTGAGGGTTTATTTCTGGACTCAGCTCTGTTCCATCGATGTACATGTCTATCCTTATGCCAGTGCCACGCTGTCTTGTACACACAGCTGCGTGATAAGTTTTGAAATCATGAAGTGCAAGTCTTCCAACTTTGTTCTTTTTCAGAATGGTTTTGGCTGTTCTGGTCCCTTGCATTTCCATATGAATTTCACGATCTGCTTATCAATTTCTGTGGGACTGTTGGGGGGAAGGTTAAGATTTTGATGGGGAGATGGTTGGGATTCTGATGGGGACTGATTCAAATGTAACTAAACTTGTAGAGTGCTGCCATTTGAATAATGTTAAGTTCTGATCCATGAACACAGGATGCATTTCCATTTATTTAGGTCTCCTTATGCATGGCCTGCACACCCTTCCGGGCATGCCCCTCGGCCTTCCCCACCATATTGGCAGCTCCAGAGGCACAGACTCCCCTGAGGACCTGGGGTCTTGCCCTCAAAGCCGTCAGAGAGGAAGAGATGAGTTAGAGCTGCATCATTGTAAAGGCTGCCTTAGTCCTGGAATTTATCTTACAGATAAGCTTATACTTGGGTGCCTGCTGTAATAGCGTGGGGCTTTCACAAAGAGAGCCCAGATCTGTCCCCTGGGGCAGGGTCAGAAAAGGAGGCCGGTGGGCCTCTCTGCAGCTATTGAAAAGAATGAGGCAGCTCTGATGAAATGCCCAACACAAGTAGCCAATCATTGGGTGTTCTGGGAGGGGTCCTGGGCACTCAGGCCTCTTGGGAGAGGTCCTGCCTCTCACCGCAGAAACCAGGATGCTCTCGCTGACCTGTTCCCATAATGTGGAACTGTCTTACCCTGAGCTGGTGTTTTTAACCGGTTTGAACTAAAAGGGGGGAAATGGAGCCAGTTTCTCATTTATCTCCAGGTCCAGCAGAGGTGTCTGATGAGTTTTGTGCAGGAGCCGAGCTGAAAAAGAAAGAGCCCCCACGTTGTCCCCCCACAAGGCCCAGAGAGTGGCCTTACCCGCCATTTACCGGTCCTTTACTGGGTTTTAACTGGAGCTCAACCTGGCTGAGTTTGTCTATTTATCACAGCAGCCATGAGGCCTGACCAGAGAAGAGACCAGGCTTGAAAGATGGGGGTGTGCAGGGCGAACCAGGCCCCAGGTGACCGGGCCTCCCTGAAGACTCCAGTGGGCCCACAACCTGTCAGTCAGGATTACAGCTTGAATGCCCACTGGTGCTCAGTAAATATTCATGGCAACCTGTCCCCTGGAGTCTGGGCATGGGGGGGTCGACCCTGCGGCGCCTGGAGCAGCAGCATCCTAGGAGCGCAGGGGGTGGTAGGCAGCCCCTACAGGGCTCTGCCTGCCTCTGGCAGCTCCATCCAGCCCCCTGTGGGCAGCATGCAGGGAGGTGACCCAGGCAGTCAGGAGCCACCATGGAGCAGGGACCCAGCCATGGACACCAATCTTCCTCTGGGGACTGGCCAACTCACTGGGAACCAAACTTCTAGAAGTTGGTGGGGCCAAGGCCACCCAGCCGTAAACATCTAGACCCATGGGCCCTTCTGCAGTCCCTGCCCTGCCTCTATCTTCCAGGACCCCCAGCAAGGGGCAGAGGTGTTGCAGCCGCAGCAGCCTCGCCTGTGAGAGAGAAGCTGAGGCAGCCTGGTGTCCCCTGCCTGCAAAGTGGGTGACCATGCTAGAGAGCGTTCTGCAGCTGTGGAGAAGGGAGGGAGTGGTGGACATTCCCCAGAGACCAAAAAAAAAAAAATAGTCTGAATAAATGTGAGACATCTCTGGGAAGGGGTCACAGGGCCTCTCACCTTCTCCCTCGTTCATATTTGTGGAATATTTGCACAGCGGGTGGACTATGCCTCATGAGAAGAAATGACAAGGGTGGCTTGTCCCTCATGCAGGTGCTGAGCTGGTGCTTCTCTCTCCATAGGCTATAGCATGTTTGCCGTGGGCATTGGGACCTTGCTGTTCGGGTACTGGAGCATGATGAAGTGGAACCGCGAACGCAGGTAGGCCCCGTGCAGGTTGGGGGGCGGGGGGCACATGTCCAAGGACTTAATGTACATCGGGGCCCTTTGTCAACCCCCCAGGCCTTGGCAACCCAGCAAGTCTGTTTCTGGGCTTTACCACTGAGGATTAACTAGTAAGCAAGGAGCTTGCCTCCAGGTGTTAACTGGGCACCTCTCGGCCTCTGCCATTGGGGACGTAAGGGTCCAGGTTAGGAAAGCTCATAGGGTAGAGGTAGAGGGGCAGGCCTGGGACGCGTTCTCTTAGGTTTTTGTCCAGGGTGACTAGGCAATGATAATATAAGGGCTTAGAAAGCAGATCATGCAAGACAGTGACCGTGCCAGTCATGTGGGGCCTGAGGCACCAAGGCCTGCAGTGGCCTCAGTTTAGGCTCCAGCTGCTTGTGAGCTCGCCTGATGCCCTGCCAGGTGATTCTCACTGGACCCCGACTGGCGGGGCCCCTCCACCCTGTCCTACCTGTGTTATATGTCCTTAGCGCCCCCCATGAAGCCAGGAATCCCTGAGGGTGGTGGTGGAGAAGGTCCAGCTCATGGAGGGTGCTCTACATTGTTAAATGAACTCAGAAGCACCTAGCAGGTGCATGATGCTAGGGTCCCTGTGCTGGACAGGCAAGCCAGGCGCAGACTCCCAGAGGGACATGGTAGTGACCACAGTGTGTGGCCGTGGTGAAGGCAGCAGCCTGGGGAATGGGGAGGGGCAAGAGGGGCTGAAGTTCATCCACCCCTTTTCTGTGCCTTTGTAAGATTCGTGGTGATGAGGGAACAGGGCCAGAGACCACTCCCTGGACCACAGTCCAGCTCCACTCCCCCCACCCCTCAGCACAGACAGGGCTGGCGGCTTGGAAGACGCTGAAAAGCAGGGAGAAGAAAGGAGCCGCCTGCCTGGCGCTCACACCCAAGGTTATTTTGAGATGAAGGGGACGTGGTTTTGTAAGGCCCAGAGCCCGGTGATGAATGCCCCCCCTCCCCCTTCACTGCAATCATCCCAGGCTAATTTTAGGATTAAAAAAAAGTTTTTAATTGAAGAGAAAGTGTGAAGCCAGCAGTCTTGTGGACCAACGCCTGTGCCAGCTGGGCCCCCCCATCCTGGGCTCCTGGTGGGCAGAGCCTACTGCCCAAGCCCTGCCCCACTTGCTTGCTTCTTCCCCCATCCCCCTTCCCCATGCATCACCCTGAATGTCAAGGGTCTGGGTTGCCTGCCTTCCCCCCGCCCTCCCACCCTGGTCTGATCCAAGTGTTGGTTTTGGGGTTTCACAGGCGCCTGCAGATTGAGGACTTTGAAGCCCGTATCGCACTGATGCCGCTGTTGCAAGCAGAGAAGGACCGGAGGTAGGGCTGCCAGGGCCAGGGTCAGGAGGTCACAGGCCTGAGTGTCCCAGCCTGCAGCGCAGGACACAGCCAAAATGCATGTGGAGACTGACAGCTGTGTCTTGCACACACTGGACAGCCGTCAATCCTTGAAGAGGGGCCCTAGACTTGACTTAATGTGGAAACCGAAGAGGGAGAACAGGAAGGCTTCTTACAAGAGAGGGTGTTGGGACTGGAGCAGGAGGATAGTAAGATTTTGCCAGGGAGAAGGAATGAAAGAAAGAAGGGTGGGTCAGTGTGTGCAGGGTTGGAAGCAGCAGAAGGGGAGGTGGAGCAGGGAAGGGGTCTGGCAGGCACATTAGGCAGGGGCCCCTTGGGGTGCTCAGGCCTGTCCCCCACCTCCCACTCTGTCCTTGTAGGGTCTTGCAGATGCTTCGGGAGAATCTGGAGGAGGAAGCCATCATCATGAAGGATGTGCCTGATTGGAAGGTGAGTCCCTGGCAGGGAGGGCAGGGGTCAAGGCCACTGCAGCAGTGGCCTAGAAAACCTGGGGCTGAAAGGAGTAGTGGGTGCTAGGTTGTCAGGAGGGGAAGGCAGAAGCTTCTTACACAGTGGCCATCAGGCTGTGTGGGACTGAGGGGGCAGCTGCACCCGCACCTATACCCGCTGTCTCCACAGGTGGGTGAATCTGTGTTCCACACAACGCGCTGGGTGACCCCCATGATGGGCGAGCTATATGGACTACGCACGAATGAGGAAATTCTCAACGCCACCTACGGCTTCATCTGGTACACGTAGGGGCCGCCCCTCGGCCACTGGACCCTGCCCACTTCCCACAGGAGAGAATAAAAGCCCTGGAGACCTGCCCGCCTGTGTACCAGGGACTGAGTGATTGGGGGAGGAGGGCGCTACTGGGTCACACGGTGGTGTGGGGACTCGAGACTGGACCTGGTGGTTCTGTAGACAACGCCAAGCAAGATGGCCTCAAAAAACACCCAGAGGCAGCCCCTGGATCCACCACTCGACTCCCTAACATGCCTGGACTCTCCTACCTCTTTTGAAATTATGCTTGTCCAGGCTGGGGGGCTTCACCTGACCGGGGTGGGGGCGACCTGGAGAGGAGTGCACAGAGTTGGCAGGAGCGGGTACTCTTAATCCCAGGATCCCATAGCAGGGCTGCCCTTCCAGACCTCGTTCACTGCCAGTATCAGCGTGTCTTGGCTTCCCTCCATCCCCGCAGCAGCTCCGCTCCTGCCATGAAAAGGTTAAGTTCGCCTGCTGCCACCTACCAATGGTTGCGTGTACCGCCTTCGCAGCGCCTTCTGATTGGCGAGCACGCAGGGGGGNCTGCCATGAAAAGGTTAAGTTCGCCTGCTGCCACCTACCAATGGTTGCGTGTACCGCCTTCGCAGCGCCTTCTGATTGGCGAGCACGGGGGGGGGGGGGGTCGTACTTCGCTTCGGCTCACCTCGAATCATGAGCGGTTCAGCTGGCCAGGACTTGGCGGAGGCGCCTGAGGAGAGGCATTTCCTCAGGTCAGCCGGGAACCCAGAGGTGGGAGCATGGCTGGGATGAGGTATGGAGATGGGCGTGGCTGGGAGGGGACCCAGGGAATCCGAGACCCACCTGGCGTTTCACTGGAGAGGCAGCCTGCCAGCTGCCCACGCCTCCGAAGCTGCGTTCCCCGGGAAACTGCATCTGCGGCAGGTCCGCCCCTCATGGATTATTCATCAGCACCGCTGCTTGCTCCCCTATCACCTCTTACCCGGACCCTTTTCATGTCCAAGGACTAAAGCCCCCATCCCTCCTGCATCTGAACTCTTTTACTCTCAGCTCCTCAAACGCACACCCCCCCCCCCTTGGTGGGCCACCTGCTACTATCAGTCCAGAGAAGGAAACAGGCCTGGGGAAGGGAGCCACTGCCTGAGCCAGGACTAGGGATTCTTGAACACATGAACCACTTGCCAGTGGGTTGATGGTTTTGGGATCGAGCTGGCAGTTGTGGCTGTCTCCCACCTTGTCCTGAATCATCTTGTGTGATATGAGACCCCAAGCAGGGCTGTGGACCTCACTGGGAACCATATTCATCCAACAGCCCCTTCTCCCACCACTTCTGCCCACTGTCTAATTAGCCCCTCTTCTCAGGGCAGATATTGTCCAGTGACTGGCTGATGTCCAGATTCAGCCTAAACACCCAGCACATCCAGAAGGCTGTTCTAGAAGCTGGAACTATGACTTCATCTGGCATAGGGGTCAGTGGGGCCAGTTGTGTGGGGCCTCAAACACCAACTGAAAAGTGATGGGCCTCTGTGGGGTGGGTAGGAGTGGAACACAGTGAATGAGGCGAGAGGAGGCAATGAGGTTGGAGACATAATGGGGGACATGTAGGTGTAATGAGGGCTTTGAATATTCTCTGAATACTGGGGAGCTTTAAGAAGGTTTGTGACAGGGTGATGTGATCTGGTGTTCATTTTCAAAGCCCCTGCTGCTCATATTTTGGATGTGGGGGAGGGGGGCATAGACTGTTGTAGGCAGGGAGGTGAGCAATGATGGAGGGCTGGTGGGAAGAGGCATGAGGATGGAGAGAAGCAGATAGAGCCAAGAGCACAGGCATGGGGCACCCTGGCCTCACGGCTTCACCTCCAAAAGAGCCCCCTCCTTGAAGCATTTTGGGAATGTCAGGCCCAGTTCCCCTTGAAACAGGTCACCTCAGCCCCTTTGGGACTGGTGGGCAAATCCTGGGCCTCAGCCTCTCTCATCTGGGGGCTGAAGTTGGGGGAAGCAAGAGGAACCCTCATAACTGAGCCCCCACTCTCCAGTCCCACAATAGCTCTGCCCTATCCCCCTCCCCCATTGGCCCTAATTCCCACTTATACTCCACCCAAAGCCAGCACCCCAGACTCCTAGCCTAGACCACCCACTTCCCATGGAGTCCTCATTATCACTCTAATGACCAGTAGGCAGGAAGATAATGTTCAAGTGGTGGCCTGAGGCCAACGCTTTGGGACAGAGCCCCCTCGCCCCACAGCCCTCCTGTGGGGGCTGCAACCAGAACTGCGGAGAAATAAACCACATTCCCAAAAGATTTTCTGGGGAGTTGGGCCAGCCTGCGGGGTGGGCAAGGCTCTTCCTCTGGCCCCACTGTGAGCTCCTTCACCCAGTACTTCAGCCTCATCCCCTACATAAGCCCAGCATTGAATCTGGCTCTGGTTGCTGGTGTCTCAGGACATGTGGCCACCCTGCACTCAGCCTTCATCTCCCCCACCTGCGTGGGCCCCTAAAGTGTGTTCCTGACCCAGTTTCTCAATCTCGCTCACTCCGCTTCAGCAATACCGGCCTCCCTTCTGTCCCTCAAACCTGCCAAGCTCATTCCCACTACAATGCCTTGGCCCGTGCTGTTCTTGCCACCTGGATTACCTCCCATAGTGCCCCAGGCCAGCTCCTCCAGGAAGCCCTCTCTGACTCCCCATCCCACAGCACTCCGTATTCCCCACTTCTGACTTTCCTGTCTGCCTGGCCTGATCACACTGCAAAATTGGTCCAAAGGTTGTGGTTTCCTGTTCACAAAATTGAAGCAGGGAACCTTCATCCCAACAAACCTCTACCATCTGTAGGTGTACCTCTGCTGTTTTGCTCACACCTTGACCGTGGCTCTGGAGACAGACACCAAGGGTGAAGTCTCAGTTTTCCTACTTGCTTCCTGCATGACCCTGGGAAAGCCACTTAATTTCTCTGGGTTGGATGTTCTTCCAACACTTCTGGGCCTGGAATTATTATTATTATTATTATTATTATTATTATTATTATTATTATTATTACCCTCTCTAGGGTCTGCTGAGCTGAGGGGTAGGTACTGTTCCCAGCAGTAAGGGGTCCTGCCTAGGGGAAGCTGGCATCAGGCCATAGACCCTGTCCAGCTGCCCAACCCCTGATTGTGGAGTGAGGAATACCTGTCTTCAAAGCCAGTTCTCCCTCTCTGCGGCCACCAAGCCCAGGCCCCTTGGAAGGCCCCTAAGCCAGGGCTAGCTTAGTCCCTGCTCTTAGAAGGGCCCAACACTTGGTTTAATGCTCTGCTGTCACCATCTTGAAATTCTTAATTTTTCAACAAGGGGCCCCACATTTGCATTTTGAACTGGGCCTCTAAAATGATCTAGCCCATCCTGCCTTCACTTTTGCAAAGGTGGAAGCAAGGGGCAGAAAGATGAAATGGACCCCAGTCGCTCAGTAAGCTGGTGGCAGAGCTTCACCTCAAGTGAGTCAGCCCTCTCTCTCTGGGCACAATTATTTGAATTTTACCACTGCCTTTGAAGAGGAGTCATCAGTGGGTCTCAGGGCTGCGAGCCCTACATCTACCTCCCTAAGTGCGCCACCAAATTCCTCTGCAGCCTTCACAGCCCTCCTCACCCAGGCACCCCCAGTCCAATTGGCCCCTCCGGTGTCCTAGAGCTCAAATCAATGGTTTCCACTGCCTAAAATCCGCCCATAGCCCCTATCAAAGTTCTTCACGCCCCATTCCTCCTTCTGGGTTCCTCCTGCTTTGAGGGCTGGTGGCGTCTGGGTCCTGCTCAGTTTCCTACGTTTTGGGGAAATAGAACCAACATGCGCCGCCGCGTGCTTCCTCGACCACCAGAGGGCACCCACGCCTCAGGCTTCGACTCAAACCTCCCGCTGCCTGCCAGGTTCAATTCAACCTCGTGCAGGTCGGATGGGGAAACGGTTGGGGTTGGTGTCAGGGACTGGCTTGGAACACTGGTGGAATATTTCTGGCTCCATCTGAGCCTCTGTCTCTAGGTCTCTGTTTTCATCTCTCTATGTCTCTGAGCGTCTCTTCCCACTCTGTCCCCCAGCACGGAGGAGGCGGCTGCCCTGGAGCGGGAGCTGCTAGAGGATTATCGCTTTGGGCGGCAGCAGCTGGTGGAGCTGTGTGGCCATGCTAGTGCCGTGGCTGTGACCAAGGTACCTAACTCCTGACCCTCAACCTTGACCCCAGCCAGATGGCCAGCCTTCCAGAGCCGAAGCCTAGCTGCATGACCCCCATGGCCAGGATGGTCCAGCCCATCGCTCAGATGAGGAAACTGAGAACCAGAGAGGCTCATCACTGGGCCAGACCAGGCAGCGACCTAGGACCCAGGATGTCAGTGAGGGTCACAGCAGAGACTGAAGCTGCCGCAGGGACTGGTCTAGGGCCCTTGAGGTGCAGACATGAACACCTCTGCCACTTCCCTGAGTCTCAGGCAAGGGAGACATTAGTTCCTGCAGCCTGAGTACCCCCAAACAACCCTGTGTTACAGGTGGGGAAATTGAGGCTCAGAAGTGGGGAGGGGCCTGAGCAGGGTCCCAGGGGATGGGAATCATAGTTGTGTCTGGCTCTGGGGCAGATCCCCTACTCTCAAGGTGTCTGCAAGGAACTCAAGAGTGAAAGCAACAACAATACTACTATTCCAGCGCTTTGCCCATTGTTACCCCTGAACAAAGGTAATAAAACTGACACCAGTTAATAATCGTAAACGCCTTAGAAAAGTGCCCAATAGAGTCAGGGCTCCAGCATGTAACCATTTTCCTCTTCTTCCTCCCCTTCTTCTTTTTACTTCTGTATACGTTCAAAAAAACCTCAATAACTTCCTTTATGTGCACTCAATTTTTTTTATGTAAATGTTTTTATTTCCAAATGAAACATAGCCTAAGTGAGATGCCCAAAGGAGAAGGAAATGGTGAAAATCTAAGCCACAGAAGCAAAGCCAATGTAGTAAACTACTGCCTGGCTCTTGGTGACCAACCTTCTGGGTTTTGCACTGAAAGCCCCAAGTCCATCTGGAAGCTCCTTGGTCCCAGCCAGCCAGAAGATGATGTCCTCCCTGACTCTGAGTGTGGTGCGGTGGGTCCCAGGGTTGGTCAGGGCTGGTCAGGACCTCACTGAGACCTTGGGGAGGAGACAAAATGGAATAACTTCCCTTCTGTGTGGTTGGAGGTTAGAGTATGGCTGGGCCTCCCAGAGCCGCTCTGGGGCCAGGGAGAGGCCCTATGGGCCTGTCAGAGCCATTGTCACTCCTATGATAAAGGCAAACTGAGGCTGGGAGAGGAGATGGAGCTGAGGCCATGCAGAGTCAGGGCAGGCTGGGACTCGAACACCAGCATGCTTAACTCCTGTGTTAAGGGAGAGAGATGCACAGGCCCACAGAAACACAGACAGTCTGAGAGATAGAGACAGAGACAGAGAGACTAGATGGAGAGAGACAGATGGGGAGAGACACAAGAAGGTCTGAGAGATACAGAAAGGGAGGTGAAGACAGAGGCTGATGGAGAGGGACAGGCGGAGAGAGGGCATGGTGGATTGGAAAACTACCTCCCTCCTCCCCAACTTTGGGGCCTCTGGGAGGGCCTGAGGCCTGGAAAATGGGTGGGGGCAGGGCAGCCACTGCAGTGGAAAAAGGTGGAAGAATGTCTGCAACTCAGGCCGAGAATAAACAAACCGCAGTGCCGGTGCCTGGTGGTGGCGGGAGGCACGTTTTCCTGCTTCAACTTGGCAGAGCCTGAGGCAAGGACTCTGTGTCTCCAAGGAGGAAACTGAGGCCCCAAGAGGCTCTACCCTCACACAGAGCACCCCTCCTTCTGTCCTTTTCCTATTGCCTCCAGGCCCAAGCCTTGTCCCTTCCTCTACCTGGGGCCTCAGTTTCCCCACCTGAGGAATTTCTAGCTCCGTGCTTTTGCCTTCCCTGTGCCCCCTGCCAGGTTTTCCCCTTGCCTGCTCTCTCCCGGAAGCAGAGGACGGTGCTGGTCGTGTGCGGTCCGGAGCAGAACGGGGCAGTGGGGCTGGTCTGTGCCCGGCACCTGCGGGTGTTTGTGAGTAGCAAGAACCCCCTTGGCTTCTCAGGGTCACGCCCCCGCCCCATCCCTGGAGAAATTGATTCCTCCTCTTGGTAGTGTCCCAGGGGAGCACTGAGGCTGGACATGTTACAGAATATGCCCAGTGCTTGCCCCAGGCAGGGTCTGCTGCCTGGTGCCAAGTCTGGGGTCTTGGCGGAGCCTGGGCCGGCCCCACCACTGACCCCTTCCTGACCCCCTCCCCAGGAGTACGAACCGACCATCTTCTACCCCACACGCTCACTGGACCCGCTGCACCAGGACCTGACCACCCAGTGCGAGAAAATGGACATTCCCTTTCTGTCCTATCTCCCCACGGAGGTTAGCGCTCAGCGGGAACAGAGGGGCATGTGGGGGATGGTATCCCAAAGCCACCCCTGACCCTGCCTGCCCTTCCAGGTCCAGCTCATCAACGACGCCTACGGGTTGGTGGTGGATGCTGTGCTGGGTCCCGGTGTGGAGCCCTGTGAGGTTGGAGGCCCCTGCACACGTGCGCTAGCTACACTCAAGCTGCTGTCCATCCCCCTTGTGAGCCTGGACATTCCTTCAGGCATGCCAGGCGGAGGGGGGTGTGTCAGGGCCTGGGGGACATGGGGGGGGCCTGTGCTCTGGCTTCTGGTGCCCTGGCTTGTCTTCCCACTCTGAGCCTCAGTTTCCCCAGTGTGGATGGATCATGCATTCTGGGTATAGCAGAGAGTCGCGTCCATCCCTCAGATGGGAAAGACCAAGGTTGTTGCCCAGGTGACCCTGTATCCCCCTCCCCCCGACACCCAGCCCAGCATGTCCGCTGCCCACCCTGGCCCAGTTGCCCAGGCAGACGTGAGCTCACTCGGCAAAGGCCTCACCCATCCTGGCCGCCGCCCCATGCCTGTTGGAGCCATTAGGCCATGGGCAGACGGAACAAACAGCTGCTGGCCAGTCGGACCCCCCACAGGGGGTGGCCGGACTCACAGGGATGTCCCCTGGCTTGCAAGACCCCAGAGCCATCTCAGCAGGGTGCCACAGAGCTGGAAGGGGGGTTGGCTATGAGGAGGTGAGCTGTCCGGTCGGATGGTGGAGGTTAGGGTCACAGATAGGATTAACGTCAGAGGGAAGAGGGTTTTAGTGATCCCAGACTCCAGTCAGAGGCAGGAGAGAAGGGAAGGCCCCTAGTCTGAAGGTGAAGGGTCATTTGAGAGGTGGAGAAGCTATTGCCCAATGAGGGAGGTGGTGGGGTCCTGTCAAGTCAAAAGGCAAGATCTAGCCTGCAGGTGAAGGCAAGGATGTCAGGTCAGAGGCAAGAGTATCTAGTCAGAGGGAGGAGGATGGATGCTTAAGGTGGGTGGGGAAGGGGGCACATTCGTCAGAGGCAAGAACCTGAGAGAAGGGGACAGGTCTGATGGGGAAAGCTTTTCTGAGGATGGAGGCAAGTCTGTCCTTTGAGTGGGGATCTGGTCAGAAGGGGGCAGGCTGGCTGGGAAGTCTGGGTGGAAAGAGGCTCTAATCTAAGTGGGAAAGCTCAGGATTGATAAAGAGGGAGGTGTAGGGACAGACACTGGCAGAGGCATGGGTCTGACTGGGAAAGGGCAGCAGTGGAAATGATGTAGTCTGAAGGCAGAGGCTGATTCAGATGGAGGAGAAAGGATTGGGTAGGAGGATGGGAGAAGGGGCAGAAAAGTATGAGGGCAGGGCTCTGGCCAGGGGGGAGGGAAATACTTCCAAGGAGGGAAAGAGACGGATCTAAGGGTGGAGGCTTTTTTTTTTTTTTTTAATGCAGAGGCAGGTCTGACCAAGACTCATGTGTCAGAGAGCAGAGGCTGGGTTTGATGGGGAAGGGTAGGTAAGTGGGTGGTGGGGTGGCAGGACCCTCTTCTGAGGGCGAGCACCCCTCCGAGCCCCTCCCGCCCCTCCTCCCTCAGGCTGGGACGCGGAGACCGGCGGCGGCGACGGTGAGGACGGGCTGCGGCCCGACGTGCTGGTATCGCTGGCGGCTCCCAAGCTCTGTGCCGGCCGCTTCTCCGGGCGCCACCACTTCGTAGCCGGCAGGTTTGTGCCGGACGACGTGCGCCGAAAGTTCGCTCTGCGCTTGCCGGGGTATATGGGCACCGACTGCGTGGCAGCGCTGTGACCGCCACCCGCACCCACGCAGCTTGGACGTGCGTTAATAAAAAAGACGACCCACCACCGCCTCGCCTCACCTTCTCTGTGCGCCGCGGGTGGGCAGACTCGGGGAGGGAGTTCCCACCGGTCGCCCAGCGGCCCAAGGCGGGAGGGATGGAGGGCAGCAGCAGAGTGGGACTTCCCGCTGGCCTCCGTGGAAGGTAGATTCAGGGTGGGACTTCCAGCTTTCTCGAGTGACCTAAGGCCATAGGGTCAAAATTCGATTCGATGGGGGATTTCTAGCCGCCTAAAGTGTGAAAGTTCGGGCAGCTCTAGGCCCGATTCCAAGAGGCATTTCCCACAGGCAGCTTGGGACCCAACGTGGAGAATGGAAGGTGGGTGGAGGAAGGGACTTCCAGCCGGCAACTGGGGATGCACGCCAGCCTAAGGGCGGAGGCACAGGCAGACGCACCAAGGGGGGGGGCGGCGACCCAGAGAGGTTGCTCACCCAACCGAAGTCACCCAGGGCCGAGGAGCGTGGCCTGGACGGGGCGGGGCTTGGGCGAGGCGGGGCCTGCGGTCGCGCCACGCCCCCACCCTCAGCCCCAGCGGCCACCAGACCCGCGGGAGTCTGACCCGAGCGCGCGGCGGAGCCCGGACCCTCCTTCGGACGCTCGGACCAGGCATGGCGTCACTGCGGCCACTGCTCTGCCTCTGCGTCGCAGCCGCGCACCTGGCGGGAGCCGGAGGTGAGGCGCCCCCAGGCCCCCAGCCCAGCCCCCTAGGCGCCTGAATGTCTGGCAGAGGGCCTGGCATACAGCCGCGCCTGGAGGGAGAACCAAGGGACCACTCGCTTCCCCAGGCCTGGGTCCCTTTTGCTAGCACCGGGGTGGGGGGCGTGAGGGAGCACCGAGGAGATGGAGCCCCAGGGACCGCCTGGGGCGGGGATGGGATCTCGTCCACTGTCTTCCATCCTCGAAGAGACGGTAGGGGCATCTGGAATCTGGATATGAACTTGAGGCTCTTCTGGATTCCTGGGGATCGTGGAGTACCTGTCTCAGCGCCGGCGTCTGGACACTGGCCCCTCTCACCTAACTCCTCCCCTCTTCCACACACACCACTCACTCAGAAAAGAAAGTCCCATCCCTGGAACACTCAGTGGAGTGGAGAGAGTGGAGAACTGAGACCATTTCTCAGATGAGGAGACTGAGGCTTCAAGAGGGAAGGGACTTGTCTGAGGACATTGCCCAGCCCAACTATCTCGAGGCCAGAGAAGCCAAGCTCAATTCCAAACACCTCCTACTGGCAGTGTGGGCCCCAAGTGTAGGGATGGAAGGTAGACAGAGGGAGGGACCTCAGCAGGCAAATGGACAAAGGGGAATGCAGCGCAACCTAAGGGCAGAACACACCTAGGGGGAAAACTGGGTCTGGGGAGCAGGGTGGAAAGACTTCTGCGGCCCATGAAGTTGGGGCTGGGTCTGAGCAAGGGATGGGGCTGTGGGTCATGGGGAGGTTTCCTGGAGGATGGGGTGCTGCAGTCCTTGGGGTTAGTCAGAGCGGGATTCTGGCTTCTAAGAGTCTCAGTTTTCTTCCCTGTGAAATGGGGATGATCATGGCAGCACCTTGCATAAAAGGAGCTCACAGGGTTCCCCTCAGCACCCCTTCTTTTCCCGCACCCCTCACCCCTTCCACAGGCACCACCCCCATTGAGGAGCCCACAGTGACCGCGTGGGGCCTTGAAGGTCCATCGCTGGGCGCTGGCCAGCCCTCACCAACCCTGGAGGACTGGGAAGGTGAGTCAGCTTGGGTCTGAGTCCTGGCTTTGCTGGGGACTGTTGTGTGAGCTCTGACTGGTGGGATCACTCGAGGAGGGGACACAAGCTGGGTGAAGAGCCCAGTACTGTTCTGGTCCCTGAACATGACAGCCCAGGGGAAGTGGTGCCCCAGGAGGTCTAAGTTTTAGGAGCAGGGAGGTAAGAATCCATGCTGTTCCTCAAGGAGAAAACGGAGGGGTGGCGGGACCATACAGGAAAAGCAATTCTGCAACCTGGGTCTCTAGTTGCCAGGCCAGGACAGTTCTATTTGACGTGCTCTTGGATTTGAAATGGAGTAAGCTACTCCTGGGGGGTTGATATGGGAGGCCAGCCCCTTCCAGCCTGTGGTGGGTTCACGGGGAAGTGAGGAAGGCCCCAGTTGGCGCTAGCAGAGAGCTGCTAGGCAGTAGAAAGCCACAGCTAGGGCTGGTGTCTGGTGGGTTTCTCACACCTCAGGGGTTCTGAATTCTGAAGGTGGGGGCAGGTGAGACGGTGGCAAGATCTCAGCGTGCACTGATGCCCAGCTCAAGCACTGGGTAGCAGAACTACAGCTGGTCAAAGGGAGATCAACCTCCCAATGACCCCTTCCCAGCTCCTGCCCTAGAGGGTTCTGGATCTGGGCGGGGCCATAAGCGGGCTGGGTTAGCCCCTGCGCACTAGAGTGGCAGGAAAGGGCCTGGCTTAGACAGCATGGCATGTAAGGCCCATACCACACAGATGGGGCCCGACAGGCTGCGGCCCGGGTCCCAGCGCTTGCGGTGTCCGCAGAGGCCAGCGAGTGGACGTCCTGGTTCAACGTGGACCACCCGGGCGGCGACGGCGACTTCGAGAGCCTGGCGGCCATCCGCTTCTATTACGGGCCTGCGCGCGTGTGCCCGCAGCCGCTGGCACTAGAGGCGCGCACCACAGACTGGGCCCTGCCGTCCACCGTCGGCGAGCGTGTGCACTTGAACCCCACGCGCGGTTTCTGGTGCCTCAACCGCGAGCAGCCGCGTGGCCGCCGCTGCTCCAACTACCACGTGCGCTTCCGCTGCCCACTCGGTGAGGGCGGGGCCCAGGGAGGACAAGGCCTGCATGGGGTAGGCGGGGCTGCAAGAGGCGGGGACCTAGGTAGGTGGGGCCTGAATAGGTGATGTAGGCGTGGCTAGGTCGAGGCGGGGTCCTTTGGGAGCAGGGCCCAAGCAGTGGGCAGGACAGGATAGGGGCGGAGCTTTGGAGGGAGGGTTTGGGAATAGCTGGGGACTCAGGTAGGGTGCGGGGTGGGGCCTTGCAGGAGTGCCTCTCCCTCTCGCTGCCCTTATTTGCTCATCGGTAACAGCTGTGTTCTGTGGGACGTGTTTTGAGCTTAAAATGTATGAGGGACACAGATAGAACAGCAGGTTAACCAAGGAGAGTTTAGCTGGGGGCTGCAACTGCACCTTCGACAGGTTCGCCTGGGGAAACACTGGTGGAAGCAGTGGGCAGGACTTCTCTTTGGAGTACCTGCCCTTGCATGCACGTGGCAGGGGCGTCCTCCAGGCCCACACTGTCACCAGGAAGCGCAGTCCCTAGGGTGGGCAGACGCCTAACTCTCCCCCTCCCCCGCCCTCACCACAGAGGCCGCGTGGAGCGCGTGGGGTCCCTGGGGTTCCTGTTCAGGGAGCTGCGGGCCGGGCCGTCGCTTGCGCCGCCGCCGCTGCTCAAGCCCTGCTGGGAATACATGTCCCGGGCGTCCCCTGGAGGCGCAGAAGTGTGTGCGGCCTCAGTGTCCAGGTAGGAGGGGGCGTGGCCAGTTGAGGGACAAACTTAGAAGGGAGGGGCCTGGGTGAAAGGCGGAGCTTGGGTGCAGAGGCGGGCCTGGAGGGTCCGAACTTGGTTCACGGGGAGATGGGCCCTTCCTTCCCTTTTGGGCCCCACCTCTTGTGAAGCATTGATGATTGCGTACATCTGTACTGGTGGACGCCCGGGGGGTTGTGTCCAGTCATGGGCAGATTTGAGGGGGAGCTTCCCCCATGTGCACAGCCGAGTGTGCAGATGTCCCAGTGGATTCAGATCCACAGCAGTGGGCTCACACACTTGGGGTGCACACACGCGGCATTCGCAGCCTTTGCTGGTCCCCTACGCCCACGCGGACACGCGCTTACACCCTGGCAGACACGATACCCAGGCTCTCCCAGGGCCAGACACCAGGCCAGCCAGGAGGCAACTGGAAATTCCAATCCAGCCTGGGCTCCACAAACACGGTCTGGAGACTGTGCCCGCAGAGCCCACTGCAGGGTGGGGGAGCACCGTGGCCAATGGGGTGGTGGGGTCCCCACCCTACCCCGCCTGGCCCTGCCCTCCCAGCTGCGCCTCTGTCCTGAAGTTTCCAGTGGAATTTTCCATTTTATGGAGAAACCGTGGGGTTGGGAGGGGAAGGAGATGTTCTGGGCCCAAGACCCAGCCCCTTGCTGGGCCCCCAGCCCCAGCCTGGACATTTCTCTTAGGCTGAAAGGAGCCTCTTGGTCCCGTGAAAGTCTCCTTTCCTGTCCCCTCCTCCAGGGCATCTTCCTCACCTCCCTGGACTGCATGTCCGCCCCCTGCCCAGCCCTGACCACTGGGCCCCATGTTTCCCTTCACACAAGGGGCTGCTCCAAGCAAGGCCATGCTGAGGCACCTTTGCTGAATAGGTTCCTGTGCTCCCCTGTCCTCCAGGGTGCAGCCCCAAAATGTGCGGATGCCCCAACCACATCCTCCTGGGCTCAGTGGTCACCTCATCTGGCCGACCGCTGCCAGGGGCCAGGGTCTCCCTGAGAGACTGGCCTGGCAGTGTGGTCACCAGTGATGCCCATGGAACCTTCGGGATGCCTGGAGTCTGTGCCGGCAGCCGGGCCAATGTCAGTGCCCAAATGGATGGCTTCTCTGTCGGTGTGGCGCAGTCCCAGGCCAACGGCTCCATATCTGCTGTGGTCACTATTGTTCTTGATAAGTTGGGTAAGTGCCTTGTGGCAAAGGGAGTGAGGGGGCAAGGAACTAGGGAGGAAGTTCTGGGTGACACCAAGCATCTGGAATTGGGGTGATGTGACAGCGCAGTCCCTGGAACAGAAATGAGATGTACACAGTCATTGAAGGCGGAAGGTAAGAGGTGGAATTGTGGAGGGAAAATTAAGATAGGGCATCGTCTTGAGTAGATGTGGGGTGAACTTGAGTTGGGGGAATAGGGTGTCCCTGGAAATGAGAGGATGGGTCCTGCTCTTGGGCAGGGTCATTGGGAGAAACCGGGATGGGGCAGTGCCCTGACTTTTGCTGCCTTTGCCCCCAGAGAAACCCTATGTGGTGAAGCACCCTGAGTCCCGAGTGCGAGAGGCGGGCCAGAATGTGACCTTCTGCTGCAAAGCCTCAGGCATCCCTATGCCCAAGAAATACTCCTGGTGGGTGCCCCAACTCATGCTCAAGGGCCTCGTGCCAGCTTTGGGGTTGGATTGAATTTCCTGTGATATGTGGTGCCTCAGAGACCCCAAGGGAGCTGCTCCGCACCCTCCCTGGGCTGTGGGCAGGGTGGGGTGGGTACAGTCCTGCTCCTGTGCCGAGGGCCCCCATAGTGTTACCCACATGCCACCCAGGTTCCACAACGGGACCCTGCTGGACAGACGAGAGCACAGGTATGGGGCCCACCTGGAGCTTCGGGGGCTGCGTCTAGACCAGGCAGGCACCTACCACTGCAAAGCATGGAATGACGCGGGCGCTGTGCGCTCGGGTACCGCCCAGCTCACCGTGCTTGGTGAGCATCCTACCCCCCCCCACACACACCCTGAGCAAGTCCTAACTCAATCCAAAATGGAACCCCAATGTCAGACTGATCTCTGACCTTGCTGATTACGATCCCAGGCCCCCACTGAGCCCCTGACCCCAGTCCAGGCCCCCACCCTTGGCCTCAGATGGAGTCCTCCCCCTTACCCTGAACTGGCTGATTTCTTGCTCCCCAGCCCCGGGACGGCCAGCCTGCGACCCCCAACCTCATGAGCACCTGATCAAACTCCCAGATGACTGCAGTCAGCTGGGCAGTGGCCCTGCCTACCTGGATGTGGGCCTCTGTCCTGACACGCTCTGCCCCAGCCCTGTAGGCTCAAGCCCCAGGTGTGGGGACTCAGGCTCCCGCTGCTGCTCTGTGCGCCGCCTGGAGAGCAGGGAGATCCGCTGCTCCAGCTATGTCCTCCCAGTCAAGGTGGTGGCCGAGTGTGGCTGCCAGAAATGTCTGCCCCCTAGGGGCCTGGTCCGGGGACGTGTGGTGGCTGTTGATTCAGGGGAGCCCCTGCGCTTTGCCCAGATCCTGCTGGGCCAGGAGCCCATTGGATTCACCTCCTACCAGGGTGACTTCACCATTGAGGTGCTGCCCTCTACCCAGCGGCTGGTGATGACTTTCGTGGACCCCAGCGGCGAGTTCATGGACACTGTCAGGGTCCTGCCTTTTGACCCTCGAGGTGCTGGTGTGTACCATGAGGTCAAGGCCATGCGGAAGAGAGCCCCCGTCATCTTAGATGCCAGCCAGATCAACACGCTTCCCCTTGGGGAGTTGGAAGACGAACCCCCCTTGGGCGAGCTGGTCCTCCCACCTGGAGCCTTCCGCAGAGCCGATGGAGAGCCCTATGCGGGGGCTGTGGAGGCCCGGGTGACCTTCGTGGACCCCCGAGATCTCACTTCAGCAGCTGCCGCCCCCAGTGACCTGCGCTTTGTGGACAGTGATGGAGAGCTGGCCCCGCTGCGCACCTATGGCATGTTCGCGGTGGACCTCCGAGCCGCCGGCTCAGCAGAGCAGCTACAGGCCGGACCTGTGGCAGTGCGCGTGGCCGCCAGCCAGATCCACATGGCGGGCCACGTAGAGGCCCTCAAGCTATGGTCGCTGAATCCCGATACGGGCTTGTGGGAGGAGGAGAGCGGCTTCCAGCGTGAGGGGTCGGCGGCCCCGCGGGTCCGCCGGGAGGAGCGCGTCTTCCTGGTGGGCAACGTGGAGTTTCGCGAACGGCGGCTGTTCAACCTGGACGTGCCTGAGCGCCGCCGCTGCTTTGTGAAGGTGCGTGCCTACGCCAACGACAAGTTCGCCCCCAGCGAGCAGGTAGAGGGCGTGGTGGTCACGCTGGTTAACCTGGAGCCTGCCCCTGGTTTCTCGGCCAACCCCCGCGCCTGGGGCCGCTTCGACAGCGCGGTCACCGGCCCCAATGGAGCCTGCCTCCCTGCCTTCTGCGACGCTGACAGGCCTGACGCCTACACAGCCCTGGTCACTGCCACTCTGGGCGGGGAGGAGCTGGAGCCCGCCCCCTCCCGGCCACGCCCGCTTCCCGGCACGGTGGGCGTGGCCCAGCCCTACCTGGACAAGCTGCGATACCGCCGCACAGACCACGAAGACCCTGCCCTCAAACGCAATGGCTTCCGTATCAACCTCGCTAAACCTAGGCCTGGTGACACCACCGAGGCCAATGGCCCCGTGTACCCGTGGCGCAGCCTGCGGGAGTGCCAGGAGGCCCCAGTGACCTCCAGCCACTTTCGCTTCGCGCGGGTGGAGGCTGACAAGTATGAGTACAACGTGGTCCCATTTCGCGAAGGCACGCCGGCCTCCTGGACAGGAGATCTCTTAGCCTGGTGGCCCAACCCTCAGGAGTTTCGGGCCTGCTTCCTCAAGGTAAAGATCCAAGGCCCGCAGGAGTACATGGTCCGTGCCCACAACGTGGGGGGCAGCCACCCGCGCACCCAGGGCCAGCTCTACGGACTGCGGGATGCCCGCAGTGTCCGAGACCCGCAACGCCCTGGAACTTCTGCCGCTTGTGTGGAGTTCAAATGCAGTGGGATGCTTTTTGATCAGCGACAGGTGGACAGGACATTGGTGACCATCATGCCCCAGGGCAGCTGTCGCCGCGTGGCAGTCAATGGGCTCCTGCAGGATTATTTGGCCCGGCACCCCCCACCAGCTCCCGCCGATGACCCAGCTGCCTTTGCCATGCTGGCCCCGCTGGACCCTCTGGGTCACAACTACGGTGTCTACACGGTCACTGACCAGAGCCCAAGACTGGCCAAGGAGATTGCCATTGGCCGCTGCTTTGATGGCTCCTCTGACGGCTTTTCGAGGGAGATGAAGGCCGACGCTGGCACAGCTGTCACCTTTCAGTGCCGGGAGCCGCCTGCTGGCCGGCCCAGCCTCTTCCAGAGGCTGCTGGAATCCCCAGCGACAGCACTTGGTGACATCCGCAGGGAGATGAGCGAGGTGACCCGGGCACAGGCCCCACTTGCGGGTCCCCTCCGTACACGCTAGGGCAGGGCCTGGCAGTGACCTGGGCCCCAGCCTCATTCCTCTGCCTTGCTCCAGACTCCTCTGTCCCCAAGAAGTCTCACCTCCTTCTCAAGACATCCCCACCCCACACCCTGCTCAGAATTCAGAGTCAAGTCTGATGGTGGAAATACCAGGCAGGCAATTGTTGCTGTGTTCAAGTTCGTCCTAATTGTGGGAGCCTGGGAGACTCTTGAGGCTAGAGGAATTGCTCCCAGCTCACATGCCAGCTCTGATTTCAATTGTATCTTGACCCTGATTTTAAATATTATGCCCCTTGGGATTTCTGACCTTCGGCCTGGAGCTCCCTGTGTCACTAAACTGGGTGCTTTATTGGGTCCTCTGCCCCAAGCCTTGTTTTTGGGGTTATTTATTGAAACAAAGCCTGTGGGGCTGGTCATGGGGGTGAGTGGGGGATGGGGGGGTCCAGACCAAGTGAAGGTTTGGAGAAGGGGCTTCTTGGCTCTGAGGCTGAGCAGCACAATTCTCACATTTGGTGCTTGGAAACCCCTAGGGGGTTGGGGCAGGGAATCAATTAAAGATGCTTCATTTCCAACTCATGGTGTCAGTCTTGGGAAGTGAACAATGGAGGCTGCAACTGCTGACCCTGACACACCTTGGCAGAAACAGGCCCCAAACATACAAGGACACTCATGTGCAAGCAGCTCAGGGGCCCCCACAAGGCCCTGGATGTGCCTCTTGCAGGCGGGTGGGCGGGTCCCAGCTGAGGCAAGGAAAAGTGTGTCTGTGACACGTGTGTGCAGAGCCAATTGGTGAGTGACCGCTGAACATTGCTGCCCTGGCTATGGCAGTGCCTCCTGCCTGGCCGTGTGCCTGAGGGCTGCAGTAGACAGGGAGGGGCTCTGGCAAGGGTGTATGCCCCAGGTGGCAGGAATTGAGGCCACCATGAACTTCTTCAGCTGGGGCCACAGCAGCCTCACCCTAGGCCCCACCCAGCTGACAACTGGCCACGCCTTGGCCAAGTGTTGACTGGGTTGTCCAAGGCCATGGTCTTGGGCTCTCTGCCTTTGCTGGGACCCTCAGTCTGGAGGCGGTGGAACCATCACTTGCTCATGCTCTGTGCATGTGACCAGGTGAGTCCTCCTGGCACCCTAAGGGGCAGGCGCTGTTCTGACCACACCCCCACTTTCTGGACAGAGAAACAGGCCCCAAAAGAAGAGGCAAAGGGCTGCCTGGGTCCTGGAGTGAATCCCAGAAGGAAGGGAGTTCCCTTGGTGGCCCAGCAGTCCCCTGAACATACATGTGAGACTCCCTTGGCCTGGAGACATTGACCCCTGGAAGACATCAAAGTGGCATTGCTGGGGACCTGGGACGGGAGGTATTGTGCCTGGTTGATTACCCTGGGGAAGTGGTGATGGCAGGGAGTAGGGGTGCAGGGTGTTCCCTTAACCCAGGGCATGCTTGGGCCTCTGCATACTCACCCACCCACTTGCCCTTCTATCACCCACCTGTCCACTCAACCACGTGCCCACCCTGACCCCCTCTAAACCACCCCACCATCAGCCTGTCAGCATTTAGAGGTGTGAGTTCTATGCCAAGATGAGGGACTTGGAGAAGGTCCAGTCTTGGGAAGATAGGCTCACATACAGACCCCAACACAGCTGTATGGTCAGCGCTGCCAGCTCTTCTCCATCTGACAGCTCCTAACCTCTCCGCCCTCATGCCTTTGTTTAGGCCATTCCCTTCATGGGAACACCTTCCCCTGATGAGGGGGTGGACTTGGGGGCCCTGGAGTGTCAGGGAGAAGATGGCAAACCCAAGGGCATCTGCCCCAGTTTTTGAGGGTGGGCCCCAGGGCTCTGCTGGATTTAAGGTTTGGAGGCTCCAATTGCTGGCGCCCCAGCCTCTTCGTGATAGGCTGTGATGGACAAGAGAGGGGAGATGCTTTGAGGCCCCTCGGGAGCCAGAAGGCATGTGAATTTTTTCAGACCTTACCGTGTCTACACACCCAGCTGACAAGGAGGCTTAGAGGGGCACGCCCCCCACCCAAGTCGACCCAACTTTAAGCCTGCCTGGCCCAGAGCCCTGGTCAGGGCTGCCTGCTGGGGTCCTGGGGAGCAGCAGGAGTTGGGGGCATCCCCTTGCAGCCGACAGGAGAAGCTGGCTTTCAGGCCGAGGGTAATGAGGTGTTAGGCTCCATGGCCAAATACCTTTCATTGAGGAAGTGTTGGGGCTGTGGCCACTGCCAGGCCTAGGGCAGATGGGTTTGGGGCAGACAGCTGGCTCCCCTTCCCTGGGGTGGGGCAAGGGTGGGTGGGCGTCGTCCTGAAGCTCCCTTCCCGGCTGGCATGGCTGGGCCATGAGCAAGCAGGGGCTCCCAGAGGGAAGTGGACCAGGGAGGGCGTTCCAGGAGAAGGGCACAGCCCAAGAACATACTTGGCATCGGGCAGGGACGGTAGCCCCAAATCCTCCCCTTCCTTGCTGACAACTCTTCAAGAGGGCAGCTCCTGGCCCCAATTTCCAGATGAGGAAACTGAGGCTCTAAGAGAAAGAAGCCATCAACCTGAACTGTGCCTCTTGATTCTGCCTTGTGACCCCATTCTAGCAGCCGAGCCAGGAGTCCTTCCCCATCCCTCCTGGAAAGTTGGCCATCGTCCTCCTGGTAAATCCATTGCCTTCCCCATGGCTGGAGCTGCCAGACCACACCCATCAGCCTGGGGGCAGAGGGGGGCAGATGAGGCCCCGCCAGAGACCCCAGCTCCCGCCACCCTGGGGTCAACTCAGGGCACAAGGAGGCCCTTGGTCCCGCCCACAGCATTTTAAACTTTTATAATTTTAGAACCAGGGGTTCTTAAAATTCCTAGCACTGTGAGTGGGAGAAAAATCTTGGAACAATCCTTAAAACAAGAGAGTCTTAAAACCTCAGGATCCAAGAAGAGGAAGATAAAAAACGAACACACATTTAGCACTGACTGGATGCAAACCCTCCCTGCTCCAAGGCCTATCTCACTTTAAGGGCATGCAATGTGTATTTATTATATTGGGGCTCAAAATGGGCTTTTAGGGAGAGTGACTTTCACACACATCCCCATTTTACAGCTGAAGGGACATGCCCAGGGTCACAGCAAATAGGGACACCGTGGGCTGGGGGAAGGACAATGTTTCCCAGAGAAGGGGACATGGGCTCTGGGTCTTGATGGAGTTTGCCAGGTGGAAAGGCAGGAAGGGCATTCCAGGTAGCTGGGAAGGTGTATGTGAAGGCTGGAGGAGGGAAACCTTAGGCATGCATGGAGAAACCTTAGCAGCAGAAGGGAGACACACAGGGAGGTGAACAGGGCTTTGAATGCTGAGTGAGGAGCCTGAGTTGTCTGTGGTGGGTGATGGGGAGCCACAGAAGGTGCCAGAGCAGGGGAAGCTTACACAATTTTCCATAACAAAGACTCCCCTGGAGTTGGTGTGGTGTTCAGCTTGTTGCAAAGTGTTTATTTTATGGAACTGGGGTCTGCCCTCTCCCACATGGCAGCCCTTGCAGGGTCCAAACCCTGCAGCCCAGCGCCCCTTCCCCTACTGCCGCTTCCTGTCCTGGCTGAACATCGTTGGCTCCTCCATTGGTGCCTCGTGGACCTGGCTCGGCCACCCACCACTTCCCCAGCCCCGTCTGTCTCTCTCATCAGCCCTCGGAGTTGGGTATGATCCAGTCTCAGACCCCAAAGATTGGAGCCAGCCTGGCGGGGAGACCTGGCTACAGTCAGGTCGGGGGGAATGCTTGGGCTTTAATGGTGGAAACAGAGGCAGGGGGGCAGCAGAGAAAGAGCAGTCCGTGTGACTGTCCTGACCCCTCACAGGTCCTGGGGTGGGGGTCTGGGCAGGCGGGAGGGAGGGAGCTTAAGGATGAAGGAACAACAGACACAGACATTTAGGGGTGGGGGTGGGAGGGAGCATACACTGCCCTACCCAGGGTCACAGCCACCGTGCAGCACAGTGTATGTGGCACATGGAGCCACGTGCTGCCCTTTTCATCATTCCAAAGTCACACAGTCCTTGTCACACCCTGTCCCTGTCCTCCCCAGACGCTCCCTCCCACACCACCGGAGCCACTTTCTTGTCACATATTTGGCTACAATGCCACCGTCAGTTGCAACCCTGGGTGCAGTCACCCTGCCCAAGAACACATGGCTGGACTTGCCTGATGTGCTAGACACACGGGACATGCTAGACGCTGTCCCAACCTTCACAGCCACACAGGCGGACGCACCCTGACATGCAGGCCCATGCCGTGGGGTCACTCAGCAGCACAGAGCATCAACACACCCACAGTTACCCTGCCTCCTCCCCACACTTGAGGACCCTCTGACCACCAGACTTTCAGACTGCCCTAGTCAGGGCCAATTCTAGGCCCCTACAATTCAGTCCCTCCAAGAATATCGGATCCTAGCCAGGCGCACGTGTACCTCCCACCTTCTTAGGTCCCTGGGGAGGGTGTGGGCCTGGGGTTGGGGGGCCCTCAAGTTTTTCCTGGGAAGTCCTGAATCCCTTCCTGCTGAATCAGCCCTGGGGGCCGGCCAGCGGGTGCTGCCAAACCTCAGGTATGTCCTCGAAGGCTGCCTGCGGGGCCTCCACCAAGGCGGGGGTGGGGTGGAGCTCCCACTCAGGATTCAGCTCTTCCCTGGGCCCCAACCCCGCCTTGCCCCAGATGGAGCTTGAGCTTTAATGGTGGAAGCTGAGGCCAGCTGCTCACACCCCCAGTTCTTCCCTCATAAAGGAGCCCCATCTCAGCCCACTCTCCTAAACACACCACGCTCTCGGATGGTCTGGCTGCCCATCCTGGGGCCCAGCACAGGGAGGAACACACACACACACATGCACACACACATGTGCATGCATGTGCTCCCATGTGATGTCTCCATGCAGACCTGTGGGTACAGATATGCTTGATCATGCACAGGCTCAGCTCTGGACTGGCCCTCCCAGAACCCCATTCTGAAAAGCAAGACAGAGCCAGGCACAGATACCCCAGCCTATGGGGTCAGGGTTGAACCGGCAGGAGAGCCAGGGGCTGGGGAAAACCCAGAGGAGGGCCCAGGGAAGGCTTTCTGCATGAGAGGGCATTTGATATGGACTTTGAAGGGTGAATAGGAGTTTGTCAAACCAAGATCAGATGTCCAAAGGTCTTGAATGCTGGTGTTAGAGTTTACCTTTTGTCTGTGACAATTTTGAGTAGGGAAGGGACATAATCAGACAAACCCCAATTCACTACCTCCCCCTGAGGACACAGCCTCTGCCCTCAGGAACTTTCAGTCAGATGAGGCAGAGCCAGTGAAGCAGAGCCAGAAGCAGCCAGGAGAGATAGAAGAGACCTCAGGTT